TGTGTGTGTGTGTGTGTGTGTGTGTGTGTGTGTGTGTGTGTGTGTGTAATGGAGAGGGAGTGAGATAGATGGAGCATTGAGAGAGGAAATGAGGCATGGCTGCTCTACTGTGTGTTTGTCTCCCCCTGCTGGTAGGAAGGCTGTGCTAACCACATATGAGCTTGTTCAACCTAAATGATGGTTGGCAAATGTAGAAGAGTTGCTAGTTTTAGGCTTATTATGTAATTTAATGAAGACTATTCGTATAAGTATAGGCGACTCTTTTATTCTCTGCTATGAGAGACAGAATGACTGAAACATGATAACATTTATGCTGCTCCAAAACATAAGACCTGCAATACTATTTTCTCCCGTTACTTACTCAGGATGAGTACAAGCCTGACGCCGACATCTCAGAGGTGGACCTGAAGAACGCGGTGCGGATCCACCACGCTTTAGCCACTCGTGCCACCGACTACAGCAAGAGAGCCAACGTGCTGAAGCTGAAAACCTCAGACTGGAGAGTCTTTCTGCTGCACGCCTCGTAAGTCACATTTCAGATGCTGTCTTTACGCCACAAAAAACAAAACAGGAAACGAGAAAAGAATACGATGGAATATTCCATTTCATCCATGTATGTCTTGAGAGGTTTTCACATGTTTTCCATTCATGGTATTGTCCGAAGATCGCAAAACATTTTGAGTTGGACCAACTTGTAACAATGTCCCATACAGGATGAGCTGGTGCAGAAAAGGGATGGATGGATGGATGGATGGATGGTGACGATGAACTGTTTGTAGCCGTCTGTTTGTATTTGTCTCGTTTTATGTAATTTTCCGCAGCCAGTTGAGTTTTTCTTGCAGGAGAATCTGTGTTGATGTGGTGAGCTCAGAAACATCAGTCAAGCAATTTTTACTCGCTGCGCTCACCTGCTCTCTCGCCCTTTAGCAACCCCTCACTCCTCCCTCTCTCTCTCTCTCTCTCTCATTCCAGTAGTGAGGAGGAGATGATGTCGTGGATGTTCCGGATAAACCTGGTGGCGGCGCTGTTCTCCGCTCCGGCCTTTCCTGCCGCCATCGGCTCCATGAAGAAATTCTGTCGGCCCATCTTGCCGTCTTCATCCACCAGACTGAAACAGGTACACACTCACACATCAGAGCAGCTGTCGCGCTCTACAGGCTTATATTTTTCCACCAGATACATCGATTATTATTGTCAAATACTACAATAAATATCTGGTAGTGATTGATATTTTGCATGGTACATAATATACAGGTTATCAAGCCTGCACGCACAATCATTCTGCATTAAAAGTCTCCACACAGGGTTGGGCATTTTTACATATTCTATTTGTGTCCGCTCGCATCTGATTGGCTGTGTTGGGGGTCTTCTGGTTGTTGTCCGGGCTGTGATTGGTGCAGGAGGAGCAGCTGCTGAGTCACGAGAACAAGCTGAAGCAGATGAGCCTGGAGCTGGAGGAGCACCGGAAAAACTCGCCCTCAGTTGACCCCAAGAGCCGCGAGTGGGAGGAGTACCGGCTCAAAGAGCACTACCTCACGTACGAGGTACAGGCTTTGGACAGCGTCGGCTCATTTGTCTGCTTTTTTATGGGTTTTTATGGGGTTATTTTTCAAGTTGCAGCTAAAGAGACCAAACAGCACGACAGATGGCCAGTGTGGCTTGTTAGCTGCCTTCTTCTTTTTATATCCATTCTGATATTTAACATACATCATGATTATAATTTAGTTTTGTTATTTATTAACAAGACATTTTGTTAGCACAACTCTTCATCAATGTTTGTAGAAAGAGATGGAGCTTCTATCTGTCATTCCTCATATTAAAGGGGTAGTTTGGGTATTTTGAAGTGCGGTTGTATGAGGTAACACCATCGTCAGTGTAATATAAGAGGAGTTTAGAGTACTAACATGGGAGCAAAGCAATGTACTGCTATGGACGGGGACAGACTCAAAACTGTCTTTAGACAACTAAATCGATCCACATCACGTGTAAGCTATAGTTAGAATATTTACCAACAGAGAACTGAAGTGAAAGGGAAATTTATCGATACTGTTTTTCTCTGGTGGCTTTGAAGAGAGCGTGGATAAGTTTCCCTTTCATTTCAGTTCTCTGTTGGTAAATATTCTAACTATAGCTTACACGTGATGTGGATCGATTTAGTTGTCTAAAGACAGTTTTGAGTCTGTCCCCGTCCATAGCAGTACATTGCTTTGCTCCCATGTTAGTACTCTAAACTCCTCTTATATTACACTGACGATGGTGTTACCTCATACAACCGCACTTCAAAATACCCAAACTACCCCTTTAATATGAGGAATGACAGATAGAAGCTCCATCTCTTTCTACAAACATTGATGAAGAGTTGTGCTAACAAAATGTCTTGTTAATAAATAACAAAACTAAATTATAATCATGATGTATGTTAAATATCAGAATGGATATAAAAAGAAGAAGGCAGCTAACAAGCCACACTGGCCATCTGTCGTGCTGTTTGGTCTCTTTAGCTGCAACTTGAAAAATAACCCCATAAAAACCCATAAAAAAGCAGACAAATGAGCCGACGCTGTCCAAAGCCTGTACCTCGTACGTGAGGTAGTGCTCTTTGAGCCGGTACTCCTCCCACTCGCGGCTCTTGGGGTCAACTGAGGGCGAGTTTTTCCGGTGCTCCTCCAGCTCCAGGCTCATCTGCTTCAGCTTGTTCTCGTGACTCAGCAGCTGCTCCTCCTGCACCAATCACAGCCCGGACAACAACCAGAAGACCCCCAACACAGCCAATCAGATGCGAGCGGACACAAATAGAATATGTAAAAATGCCCAACCCTGTGTGGAGACTTTTAATGCAGAATGATTGTGCGTGCAGGCTTGATAACCTGTATATTATGTACCATGCAAAATATCAATCACTACCAGATATTTATTGTAGTATTTGACAATAATAATCGATGTATCTGGTGGAAAAATATAAGCCTGTAGAGCGCGACAGCTGCTCTGATGTGTGAGTGTGTACCTGTTTCAGTCTGGTGGATGAAGACGGCAAGATGGGCCGACAGAATTTCTTCATGGAGCCGATGGCGGCAGGAAAGGCCGGAGCGGAGAACAGCGCCGCCACCAGGTTTATCCGGAACATCCACGACATCATCTCCTCCTCACTACTGGAATGAGAGAGAGAGAGAGAGAGAGGGAGGAGTGAGGGGTTGCTAAAGGGCGAGAGAGCAGGTGAGCGCAGCGAGTAAAAATTGCTTGACTGATGTTTCTGAGCTCACCACATCAACACAGATTCTCCTGCAAGAAAAACTCAACTGGCTGCGGAAAATTACATAAAACGAGACAAATACAAACAGACGGCTACAAACAGTTCATCGTCACCATCCATCCATCCATCCATCCATCCCTTTTCTGCACCAGCTCATCCTGTATGGGACATTGTTACAAGTTGGTCCAACTCAAAATGTTTTGCGATCTTCGGACAATACCATGAATGGAAAACATGTGAAAACCTCTCAAGACATACATGGATGAAATGGAATATTCCATCGTATTCTTTTCTCGTTTCCTGTTTTGTTTTTTGTGGCGTAAAGACAGCATCTGAAATGTGACTTACGAGGCGTGCAGCAGAAAGACTCTCCAGTCTGAGGTTTTCAGCTTCAGCACGTTGGCTCTCTTGCTGTAGTCGGTGGCACGAGTGGCTAAAGCGTGGTGGATCCGCACCGCGTTCTTCAGGTCCACCTCTGAGATGTCGGCGTCAGGCTTGTACTCATCCTGAGTAAGTAACGGGAGAAAATAGTATTGCAGGTCTTATGTTTTGGAGCAGCATAAATGTTATCATGTTTCAGTCATTCTGTCTCTCATAGCAGAGAATAAAAGAGTCGCCTATACTTATACGAATAGTCTTCATTAAATTACATAATAAGCCTAAAACTAGCAACTCTTCTACATTTGCCAACCATCATTTAGGTTGAACAAGCTCATATGTGGTTAGCACAGCCTTCCTACCAGCAGGGGGAGACAAACACACAGTAGAGCAGCCATGCCTCATTTCCTCTCTCAATGCTCCATCTATCTCACTCCCTCTCCATTACACACACACACACACACACACACACACACACACACACACACACAC